GAAAGAGAGAGGAGGGGAAGTAACCTTTCTCTGTTTTCTTCTGAATCCTTTTCCTTCATGGTTCCCTTCAGCTGAAAATAAGGCTGAGTGGTGAGTGGCAGTTAGGGACAGCTCCTTACTCAGCACGGGGTAATGAAGGCACCAGTGCTGATGCTGAAGGCCACAGGATTGTGCTACAAAAATAGGAGTATAGTATAAGTTAACTAAACAACCACTTGGAGCTGGAACTTAAAACACAGATACAGGAGAGTGAATACTCCTCTTGTTTCGTGGTTGCAAAGAACCAGTGCTTTCTGTGGGTCGTGTTTTGTTTCACTGTGTCTAATTCCCTCGTTTTTTATTTGAATCGAATTGAGAGGAAGGGAATCATCAGCTCAAAGAAAACAGACAAGGATACCCCATCTTTCTTCAGAAGATGGATAAGAAAATGGACCTTCCAATCTGGGCACCCCCATAAAAATAAATAGTCCTCATTTTTTTTTAAAAAAAGGCATAGAAACTGAAAGGGAGGGTTTCTCATTTAGTGTGTTTCTATGCCAACTGCGCTCTATATCATTCACAGATATGGGAAGACACGTCAGTAAAGAGAAGTTGCTCATGCAAAGAATAAGTAGGAACAAAGAAAGATGGAACTAGAATAGGTTTGGCTGGCAGCCGAGTTCCTGGGCCCCTTCCTAGTAGTTTCCTTCTCCTTTAATGTATCCATCCAAAGTCACAGCTCAGGAGTAGATGCCTTTGACTTCCCTACATCACAGCCTCAGGCAAGAACCCAGGGTACTGACTGGGCCTGGAGTGGCAGTTGGCTCAGCTGAATCAAGCAGAGGGTTCGTGAAGTCCCGGCAATGGCTCCTATCTTCTTTAGCTTCTAAGGTTCCCACAACCAGCACACCTCACAGCTCTGGCCTGCTGCTTCAAAATGGTGCGCCCCGTCTCAAAAATCAACTCCTACTCTTTAAATTAAAAGAAAGTACTGGGGCACTCACCTCCTAAAATACTGTCTCTGTTTGCAAAAAATGACAAGGACATCCTCTTTTCAAGTGGAAGTGAGCATTGTCCACACTCTAGGCCAGTGATGGCGAACCTATGACACACGTGTCAGAGGTGACACGCGAACTCATTTTTTTTGGTTGATTTTTCTTTGTTAAATGGCATTTAAATATATAAAATAAATATCAAAAATATAAGTCTTTGTTTTACTATGGTTGCAAATATCAAAAAATTTTCTATATGTGACACGGCACCTGAGTTCAGTTAAGGTTTTTCAAAATGCTGACACGCCGAGTTCAAAAGGTTCGCCATCACTGCTCTAGGCAAATAAGGTAATGCTTCTATAGGGTGGCTCTTGGAAAAAGCTGAGAGAATGGGCTTTGGAAGCTTAGTATTAGATGTGAATCTTCCTTACTGGCTCTAAGTGTCTCTGAGTCTTCAAGCAACATATGAAAACTCTCTGCGTCTCAGCCTCGGTGTACTGGAGAAGTGAGGCGCAGGTCATGGGATGGCCCTGAGGACTGAATGAAAGCAAAGTACACAAAGCATTCAGAAAGCCTCCTGGCACACAGTTGGTGACCCAGAATGTTCTTTATTATAATCATGTTGCTTTTAGAGACTCACTGTCACATGAGAAGCTTTAGTTGAAAAGTTAAACATGCCCTTTTCATTCATCTACACACATCGTTTCCAAGGGCTCCATTAAAAAGTCACTTCAGGAGGAAGGGTTTCATTTGGAAAGATTTTCTTCTGGAGAAAGAAATTTACAACCACTCATGTCCTCCTCATGTATCCATGTTATCTCCTGTCTCCTATAACCCGTCTCCTCTGGTCGGCTTTTCTGCCATTTTTGTTACTGGCCTTCATTGCTTCATTTTCATGTTATGCCATTTTCAAATCAATACAAGCCATAGCTCTGTCCTATCACTGTGTAACATTCAGAGTATCTGATCTCAACCAATCCCAGCAGCAATATTCACCTGGGATGGAGCTTGTCATCAAAGGGCTTAAATGAAAGAAACACTTGCCTAATCTGGAATCAAACTTCTAGTCTCTGATTATAGGCAACTCTTGTTATTTGCTGGGGTGATGTTCTAGAACACCAAAGAGCAAACACTAAACTGTTGTTCCTAGAGGAAGTACAGGGTTAGGTTCCTTTGAGCCTCTGGTCACATTTTCATCAACCAATTAATATATAACCTTGTTTTATGTGTTTCTGTTTAAAGATACCTTGCTAGATATATATTGCTGATTCATTATTATTGAACTCATGGCCAACAACACTATAGAACCAAGTTTATCTAACACACATATATTCCCCATAAGGTACAACCCAGCCTTCTTGTGCTTGGGATCACTACACAGCATTTTATCACTATGTTTGGGGGCCATTTTAAATGGCAAAATACCAACAAAAAGCCAAACAAGCAAACAAACCCCAAACCATGGCACTTAATAGATGGCAAAAAGGACACGTGTTTACAGCATGAGAGCTAAAACAAGAAGGCAGAGCCACATCAGCTGGGCAAGTGCACATCAGGTGGCGCACATTTCCTGCCGCTCTAAGGCCATCCACAAGTGCTCATGTAAAGTGCCACAGGTCTTGAGTTAGGGGTTGCAAACAAAGGTTAGCAAGTAGGTGAATTTGCAAACAAAATCTGCAAATAATGAGGATTGGCTGTCTAACATTAGAAATCCTAAATCATTGGTTATATCTAATTAAAATAAGCTTTCTCCCAACATGCAATGGGATTACTATTTGGGTAGGCTTTTTCCTCTCATGTTCTGACTGTTCTTTAAAACATTGACCTGTCTTTTCATTTTCATCCGTTGGCTCATTTTCCTCATTGCATCCATTTTTTATCTCGTAAGGTACGATGAAGAGAAATCTCATAAGAGAAGTGTGAGGTAAAAAATCTCTTAATCTACAAGTCATGCTGGACCCTCTGTGTGTGTGCACCATTGTCTTATTCGTGGGTGACCTCAACATGCTACCAGAGCCTTTGCATCAGTCCCTTGTGTATACCATTCTCGGTCTTTGTCTTGTGTGTAAAGCTGTTGAGGTCAACCTAATTTGCAACTGAAACCTACTAAACAGATACATCCCTGATGTGGCCCAAGCTGCAAGCTAACCTTAACTACTCAACAGGCTGATGTGGATGTTTTCCGCTTTTTTCAGCCAGCATGTTTCCGATCTCCTTGCAACTTTCATATTCACCATTATGAAGGATTTCGCAAAGTAAACATATGTAAACACTGAATGGGAGGAAACGACTCCATATTTAATTGATGGATTGTCTCTCAGGGCTCCACAGGATGGTTTTTGAAAGCTAATCTGCTCCACTTACGTTTGGCTCTGCTTTGCTGGGTGACTGTCTCACGCTCTGCTTGCTTTTTTTCTTTGTTTTGTTTTCTACATTGATGCTTTTTGCTCATGCAGACTGGATGAAGAACTGAGGGAAGCATCAGAAGCAACTAAGTAAGACTTGGTTTTCATTCAGCAGCTGGCGTGGTGTTGGCTTGCATTTCAGGAATGAGTTGGGAGAGCCTGCATGCCGGGTGTTGTATTTTTTGCATCCTGATAATAACGCTGCTGTTTAGAAGCTCCCTTTGTCTGTGATAGACGCAGTTGCAGTTATTTGTCCTATAGCCTATTTCCCCCAGAATCTTGGGTTATCTTGAAGAACGTATTTGTTACTGTTGTTTAATTTTTTTAAATGCACATGCAATTTTATGCACCACAGCAAAAGAATACATCACAGGTACACACACACACACACACACACACACACACTATAATAATAAAAGCGTAATATGCTAATTAGACCAGACATCCTTCCGGACGACCTTCCGGACAAAGCTGGGCTGTGAGGGAAGCCCGGGTCCCAGGTGCCAGAGGGAAGCTAGTGCCAGCAGGCCTACTCTTGCACGAATTTTGTGCATTGGGCCTCTAGTGTATATATAACATATACTATAACGATCATCTGGATGTTATATTGGGGCAACAAAACCTTACTAATGGAGAGAAATGATACAAGAGGAAATTATTTTTGTAGAACCAATTTAATGACTTTCCAATACTATTTTTCAACACCTTATTTAGTGACTTGGAAATATTGCTTAATCAACAGCTTTTGAGCTCTTTGGATAAACAGAAAAAAAAAAAACCCCATTGCTCACTATTGTTAAAGTATAATTTTCAAAAAGGCAAAATCATAACTTTAACGCAAATATAAAATGAATTCATGACAGTGATTTTATTTAACTAATTACTTAATAAAGGAACCAATAAGGTGTTAAAACCAGTTCAAAGAGCATTTCTGAAGCTAGAGATCAATAGGCAATTTATGAAGGAATGTTAGGATAAGATTGTTGGTTTAGGTACAAAACTGATTAACGTTCAGCAGGGCAATAAACAACCTTAGGGTTATCTTTTACTAGAATGCTGGACAAACATTATTTGCATCTCTGCTCAACAAAAATCTAAAAGTGAACCTCTGGTCCTAAGAGTTGTAAAATAGTCCTTCAGTCCACTCAGCGCTGCTTTGAAAGAATATCCAGTAATTTCCCTTTTTTTATTTCCAAATTACAAATAATTTTTCTGACACTATATGTTAAATGGAGACAAGTACTATTTGGCATATTTACTGTATTTCTCCATTTCAAATGTTGCTTACACTGTTAATTTTTATGACCAGCTCCCATTTTAACAGACATTGCAAATGCAGGAAATCTGGACAATGTGCAAACAGCTACAAATTCTGTATAAATAAGATCTTAATTAGTGGCATTTTTCTGCAGAGATGTAAATGCCAATTCCTCATGAAAACGATCCATTTCCATTTTTTCCCCCTATGGCCCATTTTTATTGCACGTAATCTGTAGAATTATTTCCCTCTAGTGTGAATCTTTTGGGTTAAAAATTCAAGGAAAGTTTTTTGCTTTAGAAAGTTTAGCATTAGAGTAGTTTACTGGTACAATATTTCTATCCTCTAGTTTTCTTTTAACATAACTAACACCCAGTTAGACTAACAATACTCAAAATTATGTAAATTTTTACTCTAACAAATTCTTCTTAGGCTCTAGCTCAACTATTAAAAACAAGAAGTCATGGAAGGAAGATATTAGGAATCAAGGAACCAAATGTTGGTGTAATGTAAAGCATTCATTGGTACTCAAATTGCATTGTGACATGAGATTCCCCAGAGAGAGAAACAGTAATGAGTTGGGAAGGGAGAGGGAGAGAGAGAAACATCGATGTTGAGTAGAATCATTGATCACCTGCCTCCTACACGCCCTCCACTGGGGATTGGAATCAGTGGCTAAGCCACCTATCTGAATTCTCCTCCAATTGACCCTCCTTCTTTTGATGGTGACATTACATGTTATGAGAAATTGAAATATATTTGTACATTTGAAAATGTGCAAGGAGAAAGAATTTTACTCTGTTGATCCCACCGATGATTGAAATGCCTCTGTATCCTACCATTCTGGCAAACCAACTACATCTTCTCAACAACTTTTCAGCCTCTAAGGTGACCCCCAGATCCTTGGACAGACGGTGCATGATGATTGGGGTTCCGCAAACACAGTCACTACAGATCTGTGATGAGCCTGTAGAAGCCAGATATCCCAGGTTCTTTCTATTAACAGACAAATGCACCCTGACTTTCTACATGACCTTTATTGGAAAGCTGCAGGCTGGCTCTAACCAAAGGCAAACATATACCCTTCCAGGGAACAAAACCTACCTGTCTGTTGTTTTGCTTTACTCCCACCTGTGTTTTCAAACATTCATTCTCTCTCCACATACACACACCGCCACCAGCACCTCTCACTGCCTTTCAGAAGGTGATTTCTTCAGCCTGCCTTATTTTTTTAAAAAACTTTACATCTATACAGAAAAAAAAATACTTTTGAAAGTTCCATTGTATATAGGGGAGCCATTCTGAGGTTGAAAATGGTGCAAAATCCACCTGCTGCCTTTAGAGTGACAATATCTACTGGATGGCAAATTGCTGTTTTCTTTGGAAGAAGTATGCGAAGTTAAAAACCAGAAAAGCTAGCTTTGGAAGATTGCCCTTCCTTGATTCCAGTCCAGCTTTGCTAGGTTTTTCTAGCACACTGTCAACACTTGCCTGACTGTCCTTGTTCACTAGAGTTGCTAAATATACTCCATGAAAATACCTGGGGGGGGGGGAAGCCCTCTGCCCTTCCCAGGGAGAGATAGCCTTCGGGCTTTAACACTGATAACCATGCCTCTTATTTGCAAATAGATATATAAATTTATGAAATTATTCACAGTATAAAAGGAATTCTCACATGTAAAAAAGATCGCAGAATCCCTGTGACTAGTGTTTGTTTGCCAACAATAAAAGAGTTAACAGAGGAGAAAAAGCAAAAATTTTCATCGGAAATTAATAGAAAGCAAATCTAAAGTTTGCTAACAGAGGAATCGCACCAATATGAAATATCAAAAGCAGCCAATATGACACCAAAAGAGCATAAACACATTCACACACCCTAACACAACTTTTATTTCATGATTTCATAGGGCTACACTTTTCTTTCTGGACATATCCAGTTCTGGTTATTGTTGGGATTCACTTGTCTTTCCTGAACACAGCTCAGCTGTATGGTAGCAAGTGTCCTATTATTTTCCTGAAACAAGGACAAGGAAAGCTGACACTAGCATTTTCCCTTTTAGTGTCTTGGAAAATCCTCATTCTTGTGAAAATAGAAAGTTAAGTGTTATATGTAAGTGAAATTAAGCTGCTTGAGAGGGATTGTTCTTTGTATATAAAACATTATACTATTTGGATTATAAATAAAAATTTGTAATGTGTTCCCAGAATAAGCTAGGTTGGAAAAATCAGGAGGGAAAATGACAAGGACAGAAGAGCCCACTTGGAAGTGTTTGGAGTTTTCAATCCTCTTTATATATTACTCAATGATGGGCAATTACTGTATTTCGAAACTAACAGTAAAAGAATCGCAGCTTAATTGCATCCTTGCAGGTGTAGAAATGTTCAATATTAGCAATGGGACAACACTAAGCAGTTTAAAATGCCCAAGTCTTTTGTGCTTGCAAAGTGTAACAGTGGAGAAAATGTTTACTGCTTCCTGTTTTTTCCTTGCACTCAGAACTAGCTGCCTTTACAATGATCCAGAACTGTCTTCTATGGAGAAGGAGTAAGAATTCATCGTCAGTAACAGCTCTGTGGTTACTTGCAGTATTGTATGGCTGGGCTCTGAAAGAAGCAGATATATTGAGGACTGGGTAAACCTCGTTCAGATGTTCAGCGTTCATGTTCTCCACTCCTGAAATTAGAAACTGAAAATGGACTGGGCCATCTTAACACCGTCTCGTTGGCCACCATTATACTCCTTATCGACAGCCGACGTTTAGACGTGGCATCCTATTTTTCCAATGCACGCATTGGGAGAAAATGAATTTAGAGCTTAAATGTAAGGGCATTTGGGTGAGAGGAAGGCAAGTCTGCTTTCTGAATCAACATCACCTATTTTAACTAGTGAAAGTTGGGACTTCCATTTGAACTTAGTATGTTGATGCATGGGAGAGAACTTTTTGTTTGTTTTGAAAATTCCAAGAGTTAGTTGAGTCTGGATGGGGCTGGGGGAATGATCTAGTCCATCTAGTCCTGTCCTGTGAGAGATAGAAATCAAACGCGTAGTGAGTTCTGACCACATGTCAGGCTCTATAAAAAGCTTCGCACACATTAGCTGATTCTTATCCTCAGAATAAGCCTATGAGGTACATTTTATATGTAAGGAAAGAGTAGCCTAGGGAGATTGTCTGACCAGCCCAGTGTGTTACAGTCGTAAAGTGGCCCAGAGCCGGGACTGGAATCTGCAGGGCAGTTCCAGTGACGGTGGTTTTGAAATCCAAGGGAAGTGGTCTCCATGCTGGAATGGCTGTGCAACCTCCGACCTAACCAAAGACTAGCGAGGACAAAATTAGGCGCCTAAGAAAACAGTTCGTTATTGGCCTCGTCCGTTTCAGGGAATGAACTGTGGTCACCAACATGCTCTCAGAGTGAACCTGGCCACCCAGTCAGGGGCTCCTAACCTGGTTTGAGTTGTGGAGAATTTTAACATTCTTCCCCCCAATCCAGAAGGAGGGGCAAACATCAGATTTAAATGTCTTAGCTATTGTCACGTTTTGTTTTCTTTGGGTCTCCTTTCCCTCGAGGTCACAAGGGAAGTTATAGAATCACAGTGCAATATTTCTCCAGTTGCCATGGTGACCGTACAGTTTAAGGAAGTTTATGCACACAAAAATCCATAGAAAAGGTCCCAGCTGAAAAGCACCCAAGAACAAAGGCTGTCAAGGGACCTTGGAAATCACACAACTATTTTTTTGAAGTTTACATTGTCCCACACCTTTGAGATGATGACAGTTGCTTCAAGCTAATTGCCACACAGAAATTCTGCAAAGAAAAATACCTGTCCCTTGGCCCACCAGAATTCTTTTTCAAATCTGACCTTTCTCTGCAAAACAGCACCCCCCAGAGCAGGGTCCTGCACCCGCAGTTAATGAGCTGTGTGGACAGAATGTCACTCGCTGGCCTATGGCTGCTACATCTGCGGGCATACCCACTCCTTTGTCTACCTGGTCTGTTTTGTTCCTCATTTGTTTATAGTCCCTTTGGGGTTGGGGCGAGAGCAAAGCACTGCTTCTTGTTTGGGTTTGTTCCAGGGCTGGACATGGGAGAGGAAGGGATGCTGCAAATTACTAATGTTCTTCCTGCTTCTCAGAACTATTCTCCATGCTTCCCCTATCTTTAGCCCTCTCTTGCCAAGCCCTTGGGAGGCACGTGGTCCTGGTGCAGACTGAGATCCGGGATGAGGGGCAAGAGTGGCTAAGAATTCTCCCTACTGACTTCCAGCCCTGGATTTCTGGCTTTCTTCTGTGTTAGAATAAGGGGCTTCGTTTTCCTTCTGGTTCCTGTGTGGAAGCATTTTACACCTTCTAGTACTGACTGGGTAAACTGCAAAATGGGCAAAGGCTCTTCCAAGGACCTCAGTCAGGCCGTGAATAAGATGAAGTGTGTCCTGATGCTGTAGTGGCCTCTCATTTCCCTCAGAGCGAGAAGGGAGGCTATGCCTGTCTTCCCCCGCTTTCTACCTAAACACAGTGTTTTTATCTATTATTAAGCACTATTGTTAGACACGTTGTAAGCAGCTTCATTTAACACGTTAGAAATAAAATGGCCTATAGGAAAATTGTCAGAAGGTTGCTAGCCTCACTGGAAAGTTATAGAAAATTATGCCCATTTGCCAAACGTGAGGAATATTCCTTTCATATTTCAATTCTGATTAAAAATACGTGGGTTTTCTTTGTTGTTATTTTTTTTTATTTGTTTTGTTTTGTTTTCTAGAAAGCATACCATTTCTCAAAGTACCCCGAGGTGCTTGCCTCCCTCACTTTTAGGTTTGGAAATTATTTATTCAGACGTGTCCTAAAACTTGCAACATGCCTTTTTATATTTTTACATTTTAAAAAAGCATACATGATCCAGGGGATGTGCTTCTATTTGCGGAGACTTAAATTAGTGGCATTGTTGGTAGCTTGATTAGCTCTACAAGATAACTGTTGTCTCAAAAAATCTTCAGTGTGGTTTTCTGTATTTACTTAAAAATCGTTCACTTTTGACTGTCTCTTGCTTCTTCCATAAACTGGGGAAATAGGTTTCAATGGGTTTTGTTTGTTTGTTTACCCAACGCTGAAGGGATAAGTTAAACCCTAGAAGGTTTACAAAAAAGTCAGTATGAAAAATGAGGTGTTTAAAAATGTGCATCATAGCACACATGGGTTGTTTTTTATTGTTTGTTTGTTTTTTAAGATTTTATCAGAGGTCTAGAGGGTAAAAAAAAAAAAAAAGTGACTGTGCACTTTAAACTTTCCAAGATGACGTCAAACATTCTGACCCACATTCACACTTTTCACACAGTGTGCCCCAAATGTTGGTTTAATATATATTCTCTTGGTCTGTGAGAGAAACTGAATCATCACCATGGGAGAAAGAATAAAATCCCAATCATCAAATCAAACTTACTGCAGACTTCTGGTAATAACTGCAGCTGGGAAGTAGAATTGAAAACAAGATCAAGAAGGACCTGTTTTGTAAAGGCATGCTAGAAAAAGATCTAGGGGTCATAGTGGATAACAGGAGAACTCCATGGTAAAACTCTGCAGATAAGAAAACAAGTCAGATCCTTGAAGGCATAAGAAAGAGATTAATATCCATGGTGACCTGACCTGTCCTGGCAGTTAACATGTCTGGGTCCGAAAACTCCCCAAGGAGACAAGATTATTATAAGTAGAGTAATTATACAAACATGATTTTCCCATTTCTAAGACACCAAGCTACTACTACTACTAATCTATACTAGTACTACTAATAGACATTTACTATGTGTTCACTGTGTACAGTTGAAAACACTTTCGATTTAATCAAGCTGTGAGAGATGATTGTTCTATTTTACAGATACAGAAATGGAAGCTTAGAGAAGGTAGGTAACTTGGCCAAGGCCCTATAACTAATAAGAGGTAGAACTGCTGAGGGTGTTTCAAAGGAAAGATTCTTCATGACCTTAAGCTGGATGAGCAGGCAGTGTGGATCACCAATGGCTTTATTTGCAAAGCTGCCATAGGAGCACTGCTCAGGGGCTGCAAATTCCACAAGCAGAGTAACCCTTGTACTTCTGCCTCAGGAGGGCAGATCTAAATGAAATCTGCAGATATTTCCCTGTGGCCCTTTTCAGCGAATGAATTTTTTCCTTTTTTCATGGCTGAAATTCCTCCTCTGCGTGTTCACTGAGTGTAGCTCTCTTCTCTGGTAGATATCAGAAAGTCATGATACGTTTGTTACAGAATTTACCAGGCCACCAAAAAATATACAGGAGTACTCTGAGATACAGGAAAACCCCATTTATTTCCAGATGTACGCCTATCAGTATCTCAGGGGAGCCTATTCCCAAATCCTGAGCAAACCAATATGGAGGAACCTTTCTCTTTATACCCTTTGGTTTCTTTGTCCCCAAAAAAGAATCAAACTTCCGGACCTTTGGTGGGCTTTGCAAAAAGCCCCGTGTGTTGGGATGGGGGCCGTGAGACTAC